TCTTTTTAGGTTCAACTTTGACCTTAAATAATTTACGTTTTGTAATATAATTTTTTATGCAAGATATAAGAATAGATTGTTTTTTAAATGTATTTTCATTGTTATAAGTTTTATCAAAAATTATATAACACAAATAAAGTTATTTATGGTCAAAGTTGACATGGAAAGAATTCAAAAGTCAAACGTGGACAATAATTTGGGACTGAGAGAATAGTATTTATACCTTTACGTAAGAGATTTATAAACTGATGAATAAGGGATGATTGCTTGACTTTTGACTTGAATGGTTTTCACCACTCTTTTCTCTTCTTGTCAGCTCTCATACTCTCGACCTCATGTACCCTCTTGCTAGGGTTTGATCATTGTTCTTAGGTGCGACTTTAATAGATGAATCTTGGTTTGGATTCTAGATCATCAAAACAACATCAACAAAAATGGTTTAATCAAAGTCTACAAAAGTATCTTTTATGGACACATTTCATTTAGTTTGGGTTCTATATGCAGAATCCGCTAATGAATTAATTGTTCCGTTTTCCTTTGCTAGCTTCTAGCTAGATTTCTATTTTATCTTTAAACCATTAAAAATAAAAAAGTTCACTAGAACAAGATCCTTGGTGACGTATGATGATTCGGTTTTGTTTGTTAATTTGCTTCTGTTGCTTTGTGCTCAAGGAATCGTCATAACCCAACATATCTAATAGTCAAAGGTTTTCATAAATATCCACCGATCGAAGTGAGCATGGACCATACATAAAAGAAAGGAAAGTCCATATGCTTTTGATACATAATTAATTATTTATTTATTTTGTTTTTTTGTTTTCGTCTCGCCAACATCATGCATGGACTACCAAATGTTAACACAAATCTACATGTAGTAAATAGAAGTAAGGACCGCCTTACCAAAAACGTTCATTCAATTGTTAAAAGCATTTTCAAGTTCTTGTTCTTCAAGGTTGAATAAAAACGTTCCAACTTGTTTGTTCTCTAACAAGTATACTTGTTAGTTTTTAAAATAAGCTTCTCTCCACTTTTAGAAACATAATAATAAAATCTATTATAAGAGCATCTCCATTAGATTTATTTTTCAAAATCATTGAAATAGATTTTACCCTATAAATTATTAGTATTATTATTAGAGATTATACCCTTTTTTCAATATTATCAACCACTTATTACTATATGTTTTAATTATTTTTAATTTGTTTTTTATACAATCAACCATTTCATTTTACTCTCTAATTATAATTAATCCTCCGCATATTTAACTTTTACTAATTATTTTGTTTCATTTTAGTTACCAGCATCAAAGATTAAATTTGAAACGGTTATTTAATACATATATTTTTAAAATTATACGTACAAAACTCCATTTTTTTGGAAATAATATTCAAGCGAGTTCTTTTTTTTATAAATTTATGTATAGTGATATATATCTAACTAATTATTATTGTTAAGGAATATTTCTTTTTAGAGGCATGAAATGTGCTTAAAAACAAATTAGATTTGGTCTATAAAATATTTTATAAACACCGCGATGGATATAAACATCAAAAGCCCGAAACACCTCATTAATGATTGTCCCACGTAAGATGTTGTAAGAAAAACCTAAAGAAATCATTTATAAGAGCTGAATGAGTACAAAAACAAAAATGAATTATTTTGTAATAAAAATAACATAAGGACTAAATGTGTACAATAAGTACTAAATGTATACAAAATGAGAAATATATTACCCTTAAGTCATTTTTACCGGCTAACCTGAAATAACCGGTCAGAATGGCTGAATGTGTATAGTTTAACAAGTTGAAGGGAGTTAAACGTGGACGAAAAAAAAACTCAGTAACCAAATGTATAAAATTGAAAAATATATTACCTTTTAAGATATATATATACATATATATATATATATATATATATATATATATATATATATAATATATATATATATATATATATATTATATATATATATATATATTATATATATATATATCTTCAAAAGCACGAGTACATATTACTTTATGGGCTTTTAGTTTAAGGTTCAAGCTAATTTAATAAGCTGTAATGATTCAAGCATACAGATCCAGGCTACCTGTCCACTACAATTACACATTAGAAGTCATAGCCCACTAAAAGATATATTTCCCCAAATCGATTTTGTAATGTACTTGGAGGCTAGAACATCTATTATTCTGTTCTAGAATGTACATGACTACATGGGTATGCTCTTGCAAATATTGAAATGCAAGATGCATATACAATACTCATACTAATTTTTTTAGTTTATTAAATCGTACTATGTTATTATGTTATTTATTTTTAGTTAATAAATTATCCACCTTAATTATTACTTTATAATTATAAATATACTTATGCATCAAACATTAATTAAAGCATTTCAATAATAGTTTCTTGAATAATAATTATTGTTATCATATTAGTTTTCTATTAATAATTTCGTTTACTAAAAATTTGTTGTCCCACGATCATATAATTTATAATTTTTAGACAATATTATATTCCTAAAAGGGTGTATCTTTTTAGAAATATTAAATATCTTTCTATCTTTTATTCTTATCAATCATCATACCTATTTAATGATGATATGTATCATATTAATATCATAAAATATTATTAAATAAAATTAAATATTACACATGTCACAATGTAATTGAGTAAGACCCAAAGGGCTTCTAGCCCAGCAGTATCAGGTGGTGCTGTGCTTCCGTGAGGTTAAGGGTTCAAGTCCCGTTGTGGACATAAGTGTTATTAGGGGATAGTTTATGTGTAGATTATATATTTGTATTTGCCGGTTAAAAAAAAATGTAATTGAGTAGGATGATATATAGGAATAAAATGTAGGAATATATTTAATTTCTCATATTTTCTTATGGAGACAACGTTTTTTTTTTTTTTTTTTTTTTTTTTTTTTTCATATATGCACTTAAAAAAAATAATAAATTATATTAACCGTAATATTTTATAACATTTAATATTTATTTTATAAGAAGTACTATTTATTAAATATATACATTTTATTTTTTATTAATTAAATAAAGTAACTAATTAAAAAATAATATGTATTTAATATCTAAATATAGCTAAAGTATTAAATGAAATGTTATTAAATGTATAGACTGAAATGGATATGTATAGATCAAAATGGACAAAATCTGTATGATGATTAAAAGGTTAAATTTGCTAATTTGTTGAAGTGGCCACTTATAAGCGCTATCGACTCAACGTAGGAAGCAATCACTTCGGAGCCGTTGTTTTTTCGAAGAGAAAATTTATAAAGTTTGCGGACCACCTCTGCAATCCTCTGTATCAGAAGAGGTGGAACAAACGGCTGCAACCTATAATAAGAAGCATGTTTGTTTTTTAATATCTGCAAACTGCTGCAGTAAACTGAAATTTAAATAAACTAAAAATAGTTTCAATACAAAAAATTTAATAATTATAGTATTAAAACATTGAAAGAAAACTAAAAAAACATGTAAAAAACAAACATTTAAAAATTAAAAAAAAAAAACTTAAAATAATATAAAAGAAGCTAACAGTTTTATTCTAGAAAAAAACTAAATGTAAAAAACATCAAAAAAGAAAAAAAAAAATTAAGAAAGTATTGCAAACCATGTCTACAAAATTCGTAAAAAATTACACATGTTAAAAAAGATATAAATGTAACTGAAAATAAAAAAATAAAAGTTAAAAAAAAAAAAGTTATACTAAAATTCTAAAAAAAACACTTGAAAAAAATGAAAGTTGAAGAAACAAGTCAAGTGTTGCGCCACGCAACTCATGTTCAGATGTTTTGTAGTCTGAAGCCTTCTAAAAAACAAAATGATGCGAGAGGGAAAGTGTTGCGTGTATGCTGCGCCGCGTAGCAAAAAATGGTTTGAAGAGGTTTTTTAAAAAAAACAAAGAGCACATTCGCTTCTTGCTATGAGCATAAGAAACCAAGAACATGGGAATGAAAAAATAGTAAACTCAAAGAACAAAACGGCTGTTGTGTTTATTCAACTTCATGAAAAACTCTACGTTTAAACATCAGGAAATTATCCCTACTTAGGAGGAGGGAGTCATTCCCTTCCAATCTACTGAACCCACTGCCACATCAGTTTTTCTCTTT